TACCTTTTCTTGACTATGAACTAGTCTCAAGAACAGCAGAAATCTTGAGTTTTGCTAGGAGATGGAATCGGTTGGAAGGTGATGGAGTTAGAGAGAGAAAAGATGAAATGGCTGGAAATTTGGAAAGTGAAGAATTTTAAAAAGGGAAAGGGTATTTATATGGGGATTCAATATAAAGAATGGGCTGACCTCTAAAGGCCCAAGCCCAAAAAGACTTTTATTTACAAAATAAAAGACCCCAATAAATACAATAAACAAAACAATTTTGACAAAAGATTTTTAAAACTCCACTCTTTCAAAATAATAATTGGCAACCAAATATAAAAGATTGGAGCTTTGGAAATTTGAATTTTAAGAAGAACGAAACGAAAATATAGACTTTATTTTTATGTGAAATATTTCAAAACTATTTGGCATTGCACGAACTAACTTGGTTAGTTACCCGCCGAAACGTGACCTAACAAACTAATCTTGGAAGATGAGCAAGATGATCTCAGATCATCGAAGCTAAATCCTAGAAAGACTTAGTTTTCAATAAAGGTCCTAAAATGGGGTACTAACATGAAATTCCAAAATGTAGAATTGTCACATTTATAATAAATTTTGTAAAACAATGTAATTTTAATTATAATAAAACGTATTTTTAAAGTGTATTTGAGTGACCCGTACGACAAATTTAATAACATAGTAAAAATATATATCATTTAAATTTTTTTTTAAAAGATAATTTTTATTTTATTTTATGGATGGGCCCGGGACCGGTAGCCCCATAACCGGTTATGAGTTGGCTTGACCGGTCATCACATTCTCGACCGGGACCAGTTATGGTTGGACCGGTTACCGCCGGTTATGAAGAAGGTAAGGTTCGATTGGGACCGGTTTTTGGTCATCACTAATCCCAAACATTCCCTAAATTTGAAATCAGTGTTTGAGATGAAGAGGTTAGATTTTAGGAAGGAGTTTTGTGAGGGCAAGAGTCGTCAATTTGGGAGGGGAAGGGTATGATCGAGAGGATAAGTTGGGCGGGAATCAATGCATGGGAAATACAAACTCTGAGAATAAACTATACAAGCACTAATCACTTGTATATTATGCATAAATAACTTGTAGTTAAGAGATTTCTAAAATTGATGCTTGAAAAGATAGTATCTTAAGCTTTATTGGTTGTTTCTAAGGCTTTGTGAATAAAAATGTAGTAGCGAATGCATTTAAAGTTGTTTTTAAGACTTTTCTCAAATCTGCTATATAAGGTTTGTGTGGTTTGTTAGGATTAGATGGTTTGTAAATGAAATGTCCCCTTTATAGGAGAATTCTTTTGAGATATTTGGAATTTGTGAGATCCATGAGATCCAATATAAACCATAGATAATATTAATGATTTTGGCATGAGAACGAGAGATGAGATCAAATGTTGATAATTTAATAACATAATGACATCTTTGGAGCTTTTGGCAATAGACCAAAAGGAATATGAGTTTGGCATATGAAACCAACTACAATGTTTTAATAAATAACAAAAAATGTTTAAAAAACTATTACCAATAAGTAAATAATATATTAACACAATTAAGTTAACTCATAAACCTGCTAATATTGTAAGTAATTGAGAAGGCTTAAATAAAGAATGATATGTCAAAAACAATAAAAAATATATATATATACTAACCAATTAAAATTAAATGAGCTAAAGCCAAAATTTAAATTAGCAAGTAGTCCAATTATTGTTGGGATTAGCCTAAAAATTTAGTCTAATCATCTAATTAAATAAAACTAATCAAATATATCAATATAAATAAATGAAGAAAACAAAAATATAATTGATCTAGTTTAAATAAATCTTCAAAATTTAATTTATTAAAAAAAATTGAACTAAAGACGCTTGTCATCCAATAAAAATAAATTGATATTTATTTTTATTTTACGGTTAAACAAAAGAAAATCATATAATTAAAATGTTGAAAGTACAACAAAAATAATAATCAATTTTTTAGTCTTTCTTTTACGGCATTATCAATTCAATGAAATAAATAAATACTTATAAAATCAATTTTGGTAAAAAAAAATTCAATTCGATTGATAAAAATATAACAAAAAGATATTTTATCGGTCCAATCATAATACGCATTTAACTTTTAACATAAATACTCATGTATAAAGAAGCAATTTTGAAAAATTCATAAATATAAAGAAGAAGACAAAAATGTTTACTTGAATTGAAGTAGCGGGCAGGGCCGGTCCTGGGCATAGGCCCAAGGGACGACGACCCAGGGCAGCAAAAAGCCCAAGGGCAGCAAATTCTTAAAGCTCAATGTATATATATAGGTTAAGTTTTTATTTGGGCTAAAAAATTACTGTAAGTCTACGTCCGTTATCACGAGTTACCAGTCCATCATCCTCCCTCTCGACTCTCGCCTTGCTCTGTCGCTCACGGCTCACTCTCAATAGAAATCGCAATCGCCTTGCTCTGTCTGCCGTCTGCCGTCTGCCGGTCTGCGGCTGCCCTCTCCTCTCGTCGCCGGTCGCTCTCTGCCTCCCGGCTCCCACAGTCCCACTCTCGCTCTCCGGCCTCTGCCCTTCGCCAATCGCCACTCGCCCGTCGGCGTCGCCCTCTCTCTTTGTGACTACTTACTTGTGTTGACTGTTGAGGTTAGGGATTTAACATTTAAGTCTTTAACTTAGGGTTATTATATTACTTATTTTATTTTTTAAGTTTTTAGTTTTGTTTGATTAGAAAACCTAATAATGAAACTAGCTCAGAAGTCAGAAGCTGTGATTCTGTGAAATTGGTGACTTACTTTATTTGACTATTTTACTTTGTTTGACTCATTGATTGATTTTGTTTCACTTGTTACAAACCAGTGAAACCACAAAATTAGAATTAGGATTATTTTATGTTTGTTGTTTATTGTTTAGTTTAGTCTATTTAGATTAGGGTTATTTTATGATTTCTAATTCTTGTTTGATTTGATCACTTTATGTTTGAATGTTTCCTGTTTAGACTTTAGTTTATCTTAGATTAGGATTAGATAATTTAGATTGTTACTTGAAGATTTGATCTTTTGTTTAGGTTAGGGATTTAGGGTTATTTTGTTTGATATAACATTAGTTTAGGTTAGGTTAGGATCATTCAACTTATTCTGTTTAGTTTAGGTTTACCCAAATGTTAAAACTTTAATCATTACATAGGAAGAGCCAAAACCATAAAAACTTGTTTCTTGTCGACAATAGGTTCATTATGCATTTCATGGTAAGTTGTTGTGTATGTCATCAAACTTATCTGTAGCCTTGTAGTAAGATTAATATTCCTTATTTCTCTTAGATTTGACTCTTCAACTGCACAAGTAAGTTTTTATGTTCATGGGTTTTAACTAAAGTTTTGTTGTTCATGGCATAAGTTCTATACTTTTTAGGTTTGTTTAAAGTTAAATGAATACTGTAAGTGACTAAAACTAGGAGGACAAAATTAGTGAAGTAGGAATGAGTTATTGATGTTATGGAGTGTAAATAATTGAAGAAGAACCAACTTAGTGTTTGGAGTTGGATTGACAAGGTACGGGTGTTGATTTTGGTTTATATAGAAGACGTGGGATTGTAAATGAGACAAGTAGATGAGTTAGTGTTATGATGCTCTTTATTTTGATTTTGGACAAGTATATGAGTTGGTGTTTAAACGCAAAGGCTATAACAACTTGATTAAAGAAACCTTAACATATTATTTTAAAGCAAACACTCAACTATAAGATCACACTTATAAACAAAAAACACTAATAGATCTCTCGGTACATGAAGGAAAAAGTTAGACAACTGTAAATTACCACACTTGGATGTTTTTAATTGGGCATCATTGGACTTTTCGCCGTGGACACCAAAAATCTCAGGACCGGCCCTGGTAGCGGGAAGTAAATCCTTCATTAGTGTCGGGCAACAAACTGAACAACTTTTTTTTTTTACGACGATGGTCAATGATAACGAATTTTTAAGCTTACGTGTTGATAACATGTAATGGTATAAATGAAATTGAACAACAATAAAATAGAGATGAAGAATCTGTAATTCTCATTAATCAAAAATCTTTTAAATAGGGATGAAATACAAGTAGATAGCTATGATAAATATTAGTTATAATCTATCTATAATATGTTTATCTCTATCTAAATCGTCATATATTTTAGACGATGATACACTTATCCTATAACAAAAGATAAATTTAAATGGTAAAAAGGGAAGAAATCTTTTAAATTGTATGTGGAGGAAACCATATTATTGTATATCTAGTATGATGGATCAGATGAAGAAGTGTATGAATTAATTCTCTCTCAATTCCTAGTAGAAACTTAGCAAATTGAAGGAGAAAAACGAGTGGTTGAGTGCTTGTTGAGGGACCAAATAAGCAAGTAAAAAAGCAACAAATTTGAGAAGGACTTAATGGAATTAAGTTAAGATTTCTTATTAAATCATTTAATGCTTGAACAATAACATTTATATATTGTGGGAATAATTAGTTTGTTAATGATGTCAAAACAGTGGTCGAAAGCCTGTTAATATGATAAAAAACGATCCAACTAGTTGAAATATAAAGGATAAGACAACTGAATTAATGGATGATTCATTGATTATATAGATGTTTATGTATGCATATAAGTAGATATACATTATACATGTTGGGTATGGTTATGTTCTAATGCAATAACAATGAGCGAATTTGAGGTAAGGATGCAATTTTGGGGCAAAAATAACGAGCACAGTTGAATCGAAAACCCCATAAAAAACTATATGCATTCTATACTGTTGTGCATGATTTTATATTATATCCCAATGATTTTTAAAAAACAAAGTACTTGAGCAATTAACGAGCATAATAGTTGTTATTAATGTTAGTTTGGATGAACATCGACATAATATTGTTACTATACAGTTTCATTATATAAAGCAGTAGACTGTAAATTATCGTTACTAATCATTGAAATTATGTATGAGATAGTTATATCATATAATAGTGGAAATCAGTACATTTAAGGTAATAGTAATTTTTACTTTTTAGAAATAAAATATGGTGCTACTCATCCTGATTTGAAGATCGGTATGCTTTGCTCGTTACGAAAGAAATTTTGTGGATCAACTACAGTCTTGATTTTCACGAGCCTGTCGAAATTACCCAAAAAGTATTTTTCGCCATAGACCTTGCCCTCTGCATAACTATTTGCACCATTGTGATTGATACCAATGTCAAGATCTCGATAGTTGAGAAATGTGCTTCTAGGGGAATTTGATGCGTATGGTGCCATGAAATCATATAGACTTCGTATCTGATTCAAATAATCTTTTTCACTTTCGGCTCCTCCATCTTTCCAGTTTATTGAGTATTGCATTTTCCACAAGAATCCAGCCCTATGAGGAAAAGGGGTTGCTGAGGCAGGGATTTGGGACATAACTCCGCCATACGGGTTCCAAACGAACCCAACTTTACCCAACGACATCATCTTTTTGAATATCGAATCCAACCCCGTTTTTGGAACTGGAGTTTGAAAGTAGTCTGATTTTCTTTTTCCGAAACCCACCGTATCTGAGTGTCTATTGAGAAGGATTTCAGGTTTGGTCTTGTTGTCGAAATTAGCCCAATAAAGCACAGACTCGATCCAACTCATTTCACGTATATCAGTTTTCTTCAAACCCAATTCAGGAAATTCGTCATTTGTAACACCTAAAAGTTCTTGAGCATTTCCAAGAAACAAGGCTACAAAGCTAGCCCTAATCGTCTTACCATATGGTTTCCTTATTATTGGTTGAACAAGTAACCTAATGAAAAGACGATTATCAATAATTGGGTCAACATATTGCCAATGGTTAACCAAATCTGTTGCGTTTTCTTCCAGAATCTTTTCAATGCGAAAAATGGTCACTATTTCTGGGACATCAACTAACTTAACAGTATACGATAAAATAACTCCAAAACTACCGCCGCCCCCACCTCGAATAGCCCAAAAAAGATCCTCTCCCATACTTGTTCGATTCAAAAGCCTCCCGTCCACATCAACCAACTCAGCATCCACCACATTATCAACTGACAACCCAAATTTCCGCAACATGGCACCATATCCGCCCCCACTAATGTGCCCACCGATACCCAGCGTGGGGCACACCCCTCCTGGAAAACCAAGAACTTTGCTAGCTTTCCAAATGCTATAATAAAGCTCACCTATTTGGGCCCCAGCTTGTGCATAGGCTATTCGAGACCCAACATCCACTGATATGTTTCTAAAGTTGATCATATCAAGGATGATAAAATTGGGTTCTATGGAGGTGTAAGACACTCCTTCATAGTCATGGCCACCACTCCTGATTTTGATCTGGAGGTTGTTGGCCTTGGCACAGACGATGATGGCTTGAACATGGGGCGTTGTGTGGGGGGCAACGATGAATTTAGGTTTGGGGGTGGTGGTGGTGTTGAAACGGCTGTTTTTGATGTACTCTTGTAAAATGGGTATGTAGGATGGATCCGAAGGAACATAGAGTATAGAAGCTAGTGGGCCTATTTTGGCTTGTAAGCAAAAGGTGAAGGGTGTTTGATGTAAATTTGAAGAAGTGGAGTGTAGGATAAAAAGAGAGAGAAGAATTAGAAGAAGAAGATAAAACTCCATTGTTGTCTTCTTCAAGTAGAATGAATACATAGTGTTGTTCTTGCGCTTTTATATATAGATATATATGAAAGGGTGGTGGTGGTGGGTTGTTGGTATACATATATTTTATATATACTATATATATATATATATTCGATGAATGTTGTTAGTGATGGATGCTCATTATACCTAGTGCACGCTTTCAAAAGGTGTAAGACTAAAAAAGAAATACATAAAATAAAGTCCTTTTGTGTAAAAACAACTATATCAGCGGATTAGGGTAATCAAAAAATTTATATCTATCTATATATAGAGAGGCGGGTTACATTGAAAATCGTTCGATTCTTAAAATTTATGTAAACCAATTTCGATTAATAAGAAAATTTCGTTTTTTTTAAATTAATTTTAATCATTAAGGGTTTAATAGTCATTTACATTGTTTTTTGATTAATATTGGAAGATATTAAATATTGTTAATTTTAGAAACATAAAAAATGAAACGTTTAATATGGTAGGAGTTAAATCTTTTTCTTAATTTAGTTTTTTCACAATAAATATGTTTTATTTATTTTTACGATTATACTGATCAAAAAATGAATTTTAAAATCTGTTATTGTTTAATCTTATCAACATTGTTGATGAAATTATTTCAAATCTTTAATTTTTTTTTTGGTGATCTTGTTCCGTTAATGGTTATGAATTTGTATGGTATGGTAGATGTAGTAACTTAATGAAACGTGTTCAGATATCAAAACTTTTATGAATGAAATTGTTGCATAATTTGTTAGGATACAAAATATTTTCTATTAGAAAAGGGCACTAATTTAATTGAAAAAGGGGCATTAATTTAATGAAACTTGTTCAAATTTCGAAAATTTTATTGATGAACTTGCTGCATAATATAATTTTTTTAGATAATATTGTTTCCTTGTTTCCTATAAGTTTTGAAACATAAACAATATTAAATAGTTTGAACATAAAAATGATTAATGGAAGCAAACAGTGAAACCATAAAAATGCATGACGATAGTTGTTGTTTCATATAATGGTTCATGTAATGTGTAAAGTGTTATAGTTGTGAAACAGGTTCATATAATGGTTATTATAATGGTTGATATGTTAATGTTAAGAAAATAGTGTGTATTTGGCAAACAATGAAGCCATTTCATAATAAGATTGAAACGGATCCATGTACTGAAAACATGAAAATGATAGATGTCTCCTCTAGCAATATGTTGATTTGTATATTGATGAAACGGTGAAACCATTTCATCTAGCAATAGGTTGATTTGTGTATTGATGGAACGGTGAAACCATTTCATTCGTGAAATGTAATGGTAAAAAAAAATCTTTTTTATTATGAAAAATGTTTCATTATGTTAACTTGATTATAGTGTGTTTTATTTTTCAAAATTTATTACGATATACCTAATTTCATCGGTCCTTACTTTGATCTATTTTTATGATGGATGTTATTTTGTTTATAATATTTAAAATGAAGATATTTTTAGCAAACCAATAATTTTAAAGATTATTCTAACATTTTTTGTTAGAATCTTTGGAAGTATAAGATGATATATATATATATATATATATATATAGTTTTTAAAACAATGATTTTGTTTCATTTATATTATGATATATATGATCTTGTTGCCTCGGTTATAGATTTGATATTCTACATTTTTGCCTCTTTTTCAATTAAAAAATAAACTTTTATTTATTATTATTTTTATTTCATAATATAAACTAATCTAATCTTGACCATTAATGAAGAAAATGGATGGATGAGATTGATTTGTAAGGTCTTCACAAATGAGGGTGTTTTCATTTGATCTCTCATCTCTCTCTCTCTCTCTATATATGTGTGTATATATATATATATATATATATATCTTGTGAAATGATCTCTTTTATATATCTATATCTATATCTAGAGTATCGAACGAGAACATGATCACAATAAGAGAATATGAGAATAATCAAATCATATATGATTATGGAATACGACCAACCCAAGGATATGTGGTCGACTTGGCTTGCGACCTAGGTCGTACTTAATCACATGCGATTTTAACTGTGACTTTGGTGTAAGGTCACATGTAATTTGACCATTCTCGTACTCCCTTATTTGGTCGTTGTTTTTGCATGAACTCATATATATATATAAAGAGAGAGATTGGAAAGTCAAAAAGAAATATGAACCAGGGTTGGGTTCAGGTAAGAAGGGAAGTTATAGTGATAAACGTAAGAAGAGAACTTCACTCTTCGATCAATCCTAATTAATGTCAACAATAATGAGGTGGACTGAGATGCATCATATCAATTCTCTTCTAAAACACAATTCATGCATGGGTGGGTATGAGATTAAAAATGATCAAAGATTCAGATATCTTTTTACATTTCTCACCATAACTTTTCTTCTCATACGATCTTTCACCGTATGAACCAATACCTTTGTTTATGGAAAATTTTGTTAAATATATTTTTGAGAGGTGAAATTGCTAAATTGAGCGCATTGATGCTTCAATCTCAATGAATGTAGTTAAGGAGAGGGGTAGCCATGATGACCATTTGGAAAGCATAAGAAATCATTTTATGGCAACTTACTAAAGTTGGAAAGAAATAATTTGCGGGGGCAAAAGAAAAGAAATAATTTGTGTAACGTTTATTTGGGTAAGTGCTTATCAAATTACATTATCTTATAAGATGAATATGACAACGACTAAAGATAAGAACGATGCAAAGATCAAGAGTATTATCCGGTAAGTGAGGACGACGACTTTTACCACGGTCAACACTTTACCGGTAAGTTGTTGCATACAATGTTATTTTAATTGACTAAAATCTTATCCTGTAAATAAGTGATAGTATTGAATTTTGCTGATAAACGTACGTTTATCATATAAGTGTTTGATAAATGATCCCTTACTCCAATTATATATAATTAATACCAAATAACTTGTTTTTTAATAGTGAAATATATTTTTACCTAAATCACCAAAAATACCATATATATTTAATATTTATAGACATATGTTTTTACAATATTTAATATGTTTTCCATCATCAATACATATCTGATCTTTATGAATGGAAATATTTTATTTTGAGTAAATTAACAGATATAATGTTTTGGTAGAAAATTTTATTTTTGGCGTCAAGTTTCGAATCTATATATCTATATAAAGTAGAAACATGGAGCGTTGACGTGTCATCACCTATATATTTATATAAAGCAGAAACATGGAGCGCTGACGTGTCATCACCTCAAAACCGCATTCTTACCTTTCTTTTTTCTCAGATTTCCCCTTTTTCAAAGCAAAATCTTCCGTCTTCCACCTTTACGTTTTCCCTTCTTCTCAATGGTCAGAATCTTTTTCTTCTCCATTAATAAGTTACATTTTTGTTCTTCTCCATCTCCCGATCTCAATCCGATGTTGGATTTTTGTTGTAATTTCACATTAAGTTTTCCACTCCATTCTGGATCTGTTGCGCTTGTGTATCAACAGGTATGTTTGTGTTTGATTTTTTATGTTTTTTGAGGTAGGTTTCGTTTTTTAAATTTGTAAGGTTTGTCTTCTATCCCCCCAATCTCTTCCACTTTAGAGAGCAGTTTAAACTACAAGTGATTGGAAAACAGAATGCAGGTGGCGAAGGAGGGATGATTAGGTTATCGGCGCAGAGTATGGCGGCGAGGGTACGGTGGAGGAAGATAAGCGAGAAGACACAAGAGCTTGAGTATCAAATGAGTTCATAGTTGTATATTGGATCTTTCTGTCTAAATTAAATTGCTGCTCCACAGGCGGGGTCAGGGCACCCTTTTTTCTCTAACAAACATGATTCAGTTAATTATTTCCAACAACAACTGGAATCTTTACCATCACTATATATTACAAGCATGTAACTACTTCGTTGATAGAATACCTGAAAGCACTTCATAAGCTCTTATTTAATCTTGCTATAATCATAGTTGTTGTTTCAGAACACTGACTTACAACCTTGTCTGCATAAATGAATACATCTATAGTTACTGTTTCAATGCTAATGGTCCACACTTATAAAAAAAGGATAAAAATATATAGTTGTTCTAATACATTATAGTTTTATTTTCTACAAGAAACATGCTAATGAGTCGTACATTAAGTGTGAATAGATTTTCAACCATCTTATAGTTAATTTTTCAAAACTAATATATTGAAACTCTCGATGTTCTTCATCAATCTATTTCAATGACTGTACGAAGTGAAGTACAATTATCTTCCCCCCTTTTGGTTTTTTTTGTTTTTTCTTAACAAGTTAAAACCTTGTACATCACTACACAACTAACTCTACTATGAATTTATTTTGTTTTATGTTTTCAGGTTGGCTATTCTATACGTTTTGAAGGGCCCCTCTGGTCGAATGTGATAGCACTTTCACCATGGTATTTTTTTTTATCGTCAAATGGTATAAATTTGAACTACTACCTCCATTTCCCATAAAAACATGGACTTTGAAGTTGATCTAGATATCTCGGATTGGTAATTTTGTTATTTTCATTTTGAAGATTGCAAATTGTTTTTGTTTTAGGACACAGGATATTCATCGAAGGAAAAAATTGAAAACTTCCCATCTTTTTAAACTAAAACATAATTTGATAATTTTCTACTATAACCACATTTCATGTCACAATTTTATTGGATTTTTCATTATAAAAGGTATTATTCGGCTTTCACACCTAATAATATACCGATACACACATATATATGTTATGGGCTATTTAAATGTCAATAACATGTTCATTTGAATAAATGATTGCTACTCTATTTTTCTATATGCATGAATATTTATTTGTTTATCAATATGCTTGTTTCTGCATCCAATTTTTAGTAGTCGCAGAAGTTAAAATTCAAAAATAAAAATATTACCACTTTCTCAAAACCACATAAAAC